AAGTGACACCGGAAATACTTATCTCCCTTGGGCACCTAGTTCTAGAAGAAGAAAAAAAAAAGAGACAATAACAAGATTGACTTACGATTTTAACTCTTAATCCCACATGAAGAGGTACACCAAATAATCATCACATCATATGATATCTTGAGTTTGGGTGCACACATATATATTTAAATATTTTAAAAAAAAAATAACATTACTATATATGATTTAACGAGGGAAGCATAAGTTCACGTATCCCATGTACCCCCTCCTATTACGCTCCTTGCAGTAGTGTACATAAAAAAATTCACATTAGATCTTGGTGGACATTATGGTTTGATTAACATCAGATGACAACATATAATAGGAATTGATAAATTTTTGGCCTTAGATTACGTTTGGCGAAGGCAAAAAAAGAAAGAGAAGGGTTTGTATAACCAAAATCCCAAAAAAAATCTGCTTTCATATTTATTCTTTCTCTCCGTAACCCACTATATCTCTTTTTGTCCTCTCCCTCGCTCTCCTCGTATTTCTTTTATCTATCCTATCTCCTTTTGCAACCAACCTCTATTTTCTCGAGATCTCTTTCATATAGATCTTCTTCTTCTAGCTTTGTTTCAAATATGTGTAGATCATTCTTCGAGCTACCTTTTGAATATGGATGTGCTGTACTTTTGTAAAGGCTCATGGATTGATCGTAGTTCATTATTTGTTCTTTTCTCTTTTCTTTATTTTATTAAAAAATAATTTTAATTCTCATCTTGTATATCAATGTATTTCTTGTATATAAATTTATGTATATACAAAAAAAGATGTTATACATAGATATTCAAATAAATAAAATAACTTTTTAATATATACTTTGATATGTAAAAATGAAAATAATTTTTTGATATACACAAAGCAAGAAAATAAAATTGTGATATACATTTTATTCGATGTATTATATACTGTGATATAAAAAGAAGATAATTATTTTTATACTATACACTTGGATTTGGAGACCAATAAATTATAGACAACTACATTTATAATTTCGTATTATAGATATACAAAAAAGTGATAACATTCTGATGTACACATAAAAGAAAAATAAAGTTGTGATATATATTTTGATATACAAATTATTATTATAATATATATATATATATAATTATTTGTTACTTGATTGTTAATAAAAAAGTAGGTTAATTTTAACCAATTAATAGTCTAAATTGATGCACGGTGTTAAATTCCCCCCACCCCCCAAAAAAAAAAACTGAAATAGTTTAAAGGCAAAACTACTCAAACTATCAGTCCATAAATAATTTTAATCCCAACCAGCCTAAAAATAAAATATTTACCAGAAAAGGCCCAAATATCATTTTAATCCAAACATTTTTCTATTAGTGTTAGTTTTTAAAACATACAGTGAGCTAAAGTGAGTTTCAAAGAATCGAGCACCTTAATTCAATTTAGAAATCACTACTAGTTTGATTGGGTCGAAAGATTAAACTAAAAGTACCATGGGCAACCACTAAAGCTTGTTTAAGCTTGAATTCAAAAATTTGGGTTTTGAACATTGGAATTTATTTCGGGCAAGTGTTGTTGGAATAGATTGGATATATCTTAAGGAGTGTGATTCTCAATTTCTGGATGATTTGGTGGAGAGCTTAGGTGGTTTGTATTGGCATTTGAGCGAAATTCGAAGTACACAAGATGAACATAGAAGAAGATGATATGTATCTCACTGTGTATCAAATATGTATCTTCGTGTATCTTTTGTGTATCAAATATGTATCTTCTATATATCTATGTATACGTGCATGTGAGATACATGTTTGATTATATGTCGTAGAGAAATTTTTAAACTCGATTTCAATTATGAATTTTGCATCAAAACTAGTCCAAATCACATCCAATCTTCCTCAAATTCATATATGGACTCATCCATATGTATTTAATGAATTTTAACCATATCCATTGGAAAAAAAAATCCCTTTTTGCTTAGATTTTTTGGAATCTTGTATACTTTTTTTCTTTGTGTTTCATCTTTGCTATCTTATTCATGAAATTTCCTTTCCGTCTTGCATCTAGTGTTGCTGATCACGCTTAAAAATATAGAAGTAGATCTTTGCGCGTGATTCTTGGAGAGAAAGAATCCTTGTTTATCTAGATTTTTAATTTACACTTGACTAGTTTTGATAAGTATGTAATTAATGGCTAGAAATTGGTAAGTTTAGACTTATTTTGGACATTTCCATCTTAATTTAAAGCCCAAGAGGCCATACTACTTAATTCGTTGGCCTTTCCGCGGCAGACACAGAGATATGTGGGCTAAAGTAGCCCAAAATAAAGGCGGGAAAAATATTTTTTCCACTCGGCAGTTCATTTCCATTCCCGCCAATAGCGAGCCCTGAATTCTTGAGCACACCTCCCAATTCAGCAGCTATATAAACCCTAACCCCTATTTCCCACCCATTCTCTCTATTGCTCTCTCAAACACTGTCAGTCCTTTTCCCTCCTCCCCATTTCCAAACCCTAACCCTAACATCCTCAGACCTTCTCAAAACCCCTTTTTCATCGAAAATGTTGGAATTACGGCTTGTTCAGGGAAGTCTGCTGAAGAAGGTTCTAGAATCAATTAAGGATCTGGTGAACGATGCGAACTTCGATTGCTCTGCCACCGGATTCTCTCTGCAGGCCATGGACTCCAGCCACGTGGCGCTAGTGGCGCTGCTGCTCCGATCTGAGGGTTTTGAGCACTATCGCTGTGACCGTAATATTTCAATGGGGATGAACCTTGGTAACATGGCTAAAATGCTCAAATGTGCGGGAAATGATGACATCATCACCCTCAAGGCTGACGATGGCAGTGACACCGTCACTTTCATGTTTGAAAGCCCCAGTAAGTTCCCAAACTTATTTGTTCTGAAGCCGAGTTTTTTCCTAGGTCGTGTAACAGATAAATAAGATTTAGAAACATTGTAAAATTTGTTATGTAAAGTTGCAAATTGTTTTTTTTGCTTATGATTACTTTATTTAGAACTTTGATATGTACCTTTTGGTTATTTTGACGTGGGAAAAATTGCAGCTAATAGTGCTTTTGGCATAATCTTTGAATATCTAAGTTATAAATTTTGAAAATTATTATCTTACTGATTCTAAATAATTATAATGAAATAAACTTGTTTATTTAGCTCAAAATTAGTATAATTGATATTTGATCCAAGAGATCAAATTGCAGCTAAATAGTACTTTTGCCATAGTGTTTGAATATCTAAATTAAATTTTTTATAAGTAATTACCTTACTGTTTCCAAAAAATATCAAATAAAAATGAGTTAAACTAGTTTGATTTAGCTCGGAAGTGATATTATTGACATTTGATCCAAGAAATTGGCATTGAGTATATTCATCGTAGCGTGTGGTGTTGCATGTTGCATGTATTAAGTTGAATATATTGTTTTAGAAATTGTGATTTGATTCTGAATTTGGATTTAGTCTACCATTCTTCCATTGTTATGGCTGGGTGTAACTTATTAAGATTACTGTAACGGATCACAGCCCAAGACAAGATTGCTGATTTTGAGATGAAGCTGATGGACATTGACAGTGAGCATCTTGGGATTCCAGAAGCAGAGTACCATGCTATTGTTAGAATGCCTTCTGCAGAGTTTGCTAGAATTTGCAAAGACCTTAGCAGTATTGGTGATACAGGTGCAATTTGCCTCTCATGTTAACTGCAGCATTAGTGAACTAACTAACGGTGATTGAAGATTTAACTTTTGTTTCAATTGGTAACTGCAGTTGTAATTTCTGTGACAAAGGAAGGTGTAAAATTCTCAACCAGAGGTGACATTGGTACTGCAAATGTCGTTTGCAGGCAGAATACAACTGTTGACAAGGTAGATATTTTGCTTATAGTGCTTCTGCCTCGTTGATTATTTCTTGTGGTATAAGCTGATGTTTGACATGTTGGTTTCAAATTGGCAGCCTGAAGAAGCCACAGTAATAGAGATGAACGAGCCAGTATCTTTGACTTTTGCCCTGAGATACCTGAACTCTTTCACAAAAGCAACTCCTTTGTCTAACACAGTGACCATCAGCTTATCTTCAGAGCTTCCTGTTGTTGTTGAGTACAAGATTGCTGAGATGGGCTATATAAGGTTTTACCTGGCACCTAAGATTGAAGAGGATGAAGAGGAAACCAAGCCTTGATTTTATGTTTCTGCTTTCTTTTGAGCTTGGATTGTTGGGTGGGGGGTTAAATTTTATGTGATGAAGCTCATTTGAGGCTTTCAGGCAAGCAGTATGTAGTTTAGACTTGCTAGACAAATTTTTAGGTTTGTGTTAATTAATGAAATCGTGTATTTCCCTCTGTTTTTACTCTTTTTCTATTCTCTTGCCTGCTCCGATGCTTGAATGTGGTAAGCCTGCTCCATTGAATTAACGCAGTTTCTTGATTCATTTGATGCTTCATTAAATATATACTTGCAACAGTGAAGGGATTTTCGTTCTGGAAGCATATAGGAGTAACTGCTCCTGGACATGATTTTAGGATCTGAAATGCTTAATTGCTGTGAAAATATTGATTTATGAAAATATCCTTGGCCTGTTGTAAGCAATGCACGACTAGGGGAGGCACTTGCCAATTCCCATTTGCTTGTCCACGATAAAGATGAAACATAAAATGGTACTAGCATTTTGTATAATTATGACCAATATTCTTAAATTTTGCTCGCATTTTTCTTGGAAATGATGCACTAGTTTGCTAGAATTAATAGTGGTGCTAGGAAAAGAAGAGATGTGGAAGTTTCCATTTAGTAGTAAAATGAGTACGAGCAACCACCTATTTGCAGATATGAAATTGGCGATTGCAGATTTGCAAGCATTTTAGTTGAGATATGTCCGAAAATTGGAACCAAGAACTGCCAATATCAGAAATATCAACAGGGAAGTAAATGTTATCTATTTCATTGTTGCGCTCAGTACGCACGGCAAACATCCTTTACGCTCGTTAGATGAAAACCACGATACAGTTGCAAAAAACATGAGATTTTTTCCGATTGCACTTTAACTCAATTTCTTTTTACAAATGCCTCTACAAACAGGAAAATTCAGATTTTAACACCACTAGATTAGAACATACAATCTCATCCCGCAGTCTAACCATTAGCTGCAAAGCTATAGCACTGCTCATGGAGAGTGTTCAAAACGGTAGCCGTTTAGCTGCAAACAAAAAGACGCTAGTCTGTAGCGCTGCAACTAAGATAGAATGGGAAGAATGTCCAAATCTAAGTCTGCCGAAAAATGATCAGGTCCTCCACTTTTCACCAATATAAAATGCTTGATCACCAAGCTCTTGTTCAATTCTAAGCAACTGCAAGATAAACAAACGTCATACTTAGTAGAAAAAGGACAGGAAGAAAGGATGTGAAAAAGTCATGCTTGAGGGAAAGAAGTGTTTTGTAGTGTCCTTCAGTGTCAAACCACAATAAGAGCATGGCACAGCAGATGGCGTGCCACTAAAAATTCTTTCATTGAGGTTATAAATAGACGAATTACTTTTTCAAACCCACCACTCCCTCTAGGAAAAAAAGAATAAGAAAAAGGACAACCACTACAGTTCTAATAATTGAAATCAGTCCATAAATTCAGCTAAACATGGCAAATACTTTATAAAAAATCATAGGCTAGCAACCAGACCTGGTTGTACTTTGCTAGTCGTTCTCCTCGGCAAGGAGCACCTGCTTTAATTTGACCAGTAGCTAAGCCAACAGATAAATCAGCTATAAAACTCTCTTCAGTTTCACCACTTCTTTGAGATATCACAACCCCCCACTGGGCATCCTTAGCCATCTTGACCACTTCAATGGCTTCGGTCACCGTACCAATCTGATTAACCTGCATCCCAGCCAATCCATGCCATCAGAAAGTATTTTACATCAGCAACATATGTTACTGATATTTACAGACAATATGGAGACTGGATCCTATGTATTCAATAGTTTAAGTAATAAAAGGATAGGATACTGTCCAGTTCTACTAAGTTTATGATACTATTAAGGAGACTTGACAAAGAAAATCTGAAGGACCTAATAATCAAGAAAGTATCAGAATCCCGAAGTAATCAAAATGGCATATTTTACTAAGATCTCAAATCACTAATAATAGGGCAGAGACTCAGAATTAATATAGTGCAAATATTGGCGTCTCATTTTTGGCATCAGATGGATGGACAATTTCTTGACAGTTGTCGAAACAATAAAAAAACATCTTGACAGTTGTGGATGAACAAGTACTTCTCCAGAGTTGCCACAAATACTAAACTGTAGAGCGATCTCAAATGGCAGGTAAAGCCTTCAAAGAATTCTTGGTCACCAAGACGAACCAAAAGCCAGGGAGTTGTTCACTCCATTAGAGAAAAGCAGTAAACATTGAAGATATAGTGGTTGCTATGTGCAATAACTCCAGTGTGGGTGTTGGATAGGGGTCAGGATTACTCTGTTTATTGAGCCTTTTTTTGGGGGTGGGGGATTCAGCTGGCAATCTGATCCAGTCTTCGATGATCAATGAAGTGGTAGGGTTCAATTAAAGTTCTTTTTTCCCCTACAGGTCAGGTATGCTTACTTTAATGGATAGCAACCACCCCTTCAGGTGTGCTTTGATGCATAATCTCATTACTAGTCTAACTTCCTAGATCATAGCCTCTTCATTGTCCTTCACATGAAGATGAGTTAAATTTTTGAAATAATTTTAAAATTAAAATAAAGAACGTATTCTAATGTTTGATTACTAACCCAAGTATAAGGCCGTTCGGACATCAAAATTTAAAATTCAAGAGCTAATCTAAGTCCAAATCATATCATATGCTAAAGAATTAAAATGTTACACTATTGCAGAAGATTCTTGTGAGTGCCTAGCACTGCAAATATGTAAAATGTGGAGAGTCTAGTTCAATCCAAGAAAGGGAAGCACAAAATTACCAAAGGAAAACCAAAATAAGGTGAAACCACACAAAATCTTGAATGATCATATTGCACATTGAGTTGCCAGGATAACCCTTTTCGGCGATATGATTGGATTGGTTAGAAAGCCATACTTTTGCAAAGATCTATGTTTTTTCCTGTTTTAATAAATCAAACTGCTTTGGATAATTATCACAAGCCGGTGTCCCTTCACAAAATAAAGATTTAATTTCCAAAACCTACAACCAAACAATCTATGCAATATGGGTTATCCTTTGCAAAGATAAATCTCAACAGAGCTCTTCTATGGAGGATGTTTTTCCTTTTGTGCGTCAAATTAACACTGTTTGCTACAACAATTATTGATTTTACTCTTTCTAAGTGTGAAACTTACATAATATACTCCTTTTTCTTGCAAATTGCACTCGTGCCATGGAGAGAGGAATATT